ATTATTAAATTTTGATTAACTAATAGGCAAAGAGGAAGATGAAAACGAAATCTACAAAAGAGGTGTTTTAGTGTCGGTACTTTTGTTCTCATTTGACAGCCGTGTCAAATTTGTTAATCGAGAGCAAAAGTATCGGCCCTTAGGGCCGGTTTATCAATCAAGGGATAACTCGCAGAGTTTGCTGGCCCTGGGTTAACTCTAACTCTGGGCTAACTACCCTACCTACTCAATTCGAAAAGTATTTATCCAAACTGTTTCAACTCAGGGCTGGTAAACTCTCGGGTTCTCTGAAGGTTGGCATTACTTATGCAACGTTGCCAACTCACTTTCGTCGATTTTTTGACATTTTTTGCTCATAACCTTACTTTTTTTATGCGAAAACGCGCCGACGTCATCAAAATCGCCAAAGGGATTAGGGATTTGATTTCAAATTTACGTGGTAGGGGCGTCGCTCATGTTCTAGAAATTCTAGAACATCTCGATCATCATTACTGAAATCTAAGTCCTCCATCTCTTCAGAATTTCAAAATTTAAGCTAAAACCACAACAACAAAATTCAGACAAAAAATAACAGAAAATGTTGAGGTTAACCCAGGGTCAAATACGCTAACTTGCCGTGAGAGCTCGGGTTAACTTTTTCCTGGAATAACTTTCGAGCTAGCAGTTGACCCTGGATAGATAAACACTTGTCACAACTTTGACCCAGGATTATCCCTAACTCATGGGGTAACTTTCTATTGATAAACCGGCCCTTAGAATATTAATTAATGTAGTAAAACCAACTAAGGATAAAGCAAAAGCCCGAGGAATCATAACCTGTGGTGCAAACAAAACAGTCTACGTCAAGGCGAGAAACGACATGCTGTCTACGTCACAACTGGTGATTTGGCGTGGTGGAGGCCTTCAGATTTGTTCCACACAGGCCTTTATGGCCTTATTATTATTTTCAAAATTTTTAGAACCAAATATGTTGGACACGGCTCAACCAAATACAGACAAGCTATATAGTTTTGGAATCGGGAAATGTTCTTCAAGAATATAGAACCAATCAATCAATCAATCAAAATAGTTTATTTCAAGATTCAAAATTCACAATAGACTTACGACTAAACTCTAAGAAATAAACAAGGACACTGAAGCAAAGGAATTTCGCTTGTTAGTGCCGTGGTAATAAATAAAATAAATAAAACAAAAAAAAAACAAATAAAGTAAATAAAATAAACAAAATAAATAAATTTGGTAATATAAAAAAAAAAGGTAACAAAAGGTAGTTTACAATTTGGAGAACATTACTTTGTTTCTACTTCTGGGTAAATTGTCACTTTTGGGTGAATTGTCACTTTTGGGTAAAATTGTCACTTCTGGGTATATTGTCATTTTTGGGTCATTTGTCACTATGAATTAAATTGTCATTTTTGAGCATATTACTTAGTCATTTTTGGGTAAATTGTCACTTTTGAGAAAATATTCAACTAAAACTGTTGCCACTAAAATTTGCACTCATAAAGTTTAATTAAGTTTATATAACTATTTTAAATAAATTATGCACTGCTGCTCTATTTTGCGTACAAAGCCAATTTTTTACTCTTAGTTTAAAAGACTTTTTATATATTACCGCTTTTAGGTGATTTGGTAGGAAATTGTAAAATTTGGGAGCTAAATATAAAAAAGATCTGTGATAAATTTCTTTTTTACTTGGCGGCACCACTACAAACCCATCTCGTTGCCTTGTGTTGTGTCCGTGTGTGATAGTTTCTAATTTTATTTTTTGACGGTTTATACCTCAGACTAATAATAAAACTAGAGACTAAACATGCCATTTAGAAATCGCCCAATGTTTACAATCAATCATCTTTTAGTCCCTGACATGAGTAGGAGAGAGATAGACCTATAAAATGGCAACACTGTTCAGTGGCGGTGTATTCAGTTTCCTCTCAATTTTGCCATTCACAATAAATTACCATAAATATCCTGTATCTACGCCAATGTCAAGCGTAAAATGATGTCAAATTTCTTACCGCCGAAATATTAAAATGTGCTTGGAATCAATAAAGATAATACATCGATTTACCATTTTAACGTTCTCCACCACACTTTCCACATATTTAAATCCAAAAATACCACTGATTAACACTCAAATCACAAAATTTATCTCTATCACTTCACAGCAACAGTGCGAAATCCATTATGGCTGCCATAAGTCACCTAAAATCATCTGATTGGCTGCTCGTAGATGCAACGTTGCCGATGTGCTGTTTTTCGAGCCATATATTCCTGGTTCTTCCCGAATTTTCACCAATTTAAATTATAAAAAGACTAATTATTTTTTTCAAAAAGGCGTTCAAGTTATGCTTCAACAAAGATTGATATAAAAAAAACATTTATATTATGTTAAAACATATTTTGAAATAATGATTATCCGTGAAAATATTTAATATTGAAAATCACATCGGATTATTGGCAACCAGGCTTTTCATGCAAAAATCGACCTTATGGATGTTGGATCGCGAATTGTTTGTTTACTGTTGTATCTGTCGTTTTTAGTTGTTAATCTGAGGTTTATACACATTAGCAGCTGTTGAAAGTAAAGCTGTCTAATATCGCGTAATTTTGCTTCCAAATATAGGACATCCCATTTGAAAAAAGCTGAAAGCATGCAACATTTCACATTACTGACATTCAATTTTTGTTTCTGACCATGGATTCTAAAAATTTAGCCAATACTGTACAACTTTTGTATTTACAGCTTTCATCTACCTATAAAGGTGAAGGCTATAGGTGAGGTGGCATTGTCAATGTATAAAAAAACATCCTATACTTGAACAATAACTTATTATATAAAGTCAGAATTTGTAAGATTATCTACTTTTTGTCAGTTTGCCTTTTAACAGGAATTAGTAATGTTACTTTACTGAACTAGTTACATAATGTGACAAATTATTCAAGTACAAATGAGTGAATTGTTGCGGAACTTATGAGTGGACCTCTGCGGGACGAGCGTAGCGAGTTCCGCAGGCATCTATTTATCAATATGTTGTTTGATTACGATAATAACCTGACTTACTCAAATGTGAGTTATTCTCATTAGTTTAAAAACTACATGTTTCAGGTGAGTGTCTTATTTGAACAGTTCAACAATATATTGGTGAGTAGATGGCTGCGGAACTCGCTGCGCTCGTCCCGCAGAGGTCCACCCATAAGTTCCGCAATAATCCACTTATTTGTACAGGGTGTTTTTCTATATATTCACACCCCACCTACAGCCTTTACCTTTACAGGTACAAGAAAGGTGTAAATACAAAAGTTACAGTTTTGGCTGAATTTTTAAAAACCATGGTCAGAAACAAAATTTAAATGTCAGAAATGTGAAATTTTGCATGCTTCCAGCTTTTTTCAAATAGGGTGCCCTATATTTTAAAAATACCTGGATTATTTTTAAAATTTTTAGAACCAAATATGTTGGAGACCGCTCAACCAAATATAGACATACTATATAGTTTTGTAATCGGAAAATTATGCTCTTCAAGAATATAAAATCTTTTTTAAAGATAAAAGTCGAAATGACATTATGTTGGCAATACAATGTAAAATTGTCAATGCTTTCAATTTTTTTATGTAGAGAAGGCGTGTGTTGCCAACATAGTTACTAAATTTTTGATTTGGGGAATTATCTTTAAAAAAAAACAGGCTTTAGAACCAAATATAGCGCATATTATCCTATCTAAAAAAAGCTGAAAGCATGGAATATTTCACATTTCTGACATTCAATTTTTGTTTCTGACCCTGGATTCTAAAAATTTAGTCAATACTGTATAATTTTTGTATTTACACCTCTCATCTACCTGTAAATATAAAGGTTGTAGATGGGGTGTCAATATACAGGGTGTCCTCAGATAAACTGACACGAGATATTTATCTACAAAATGTAGATAAATATCTCGAAAACGAGAAACGGTAACGAGATGCGGTTTGTTCTGGGAGAATAAGGATTTTTTAAAGTTTTTTTTCACACTATTGCCGATTTCAAAAAATCGTATGTCTGTAAAACCAAATTTCAGCAAATTTTGGGATTCGGCAATACTGGTAAAAAAAAACCTTAAAATATCCTTATTTTCCCGGGACAAACCGCATCTCGTTAGCTTTTCTCGTTTTCGAGATATTTACCTCCAAAATGTGCCAGTTTATCTATAAGGACATCCTGACCTGCAAAATGTGTCAGTTTATTTAAGGACACCCTGTATAAAAAAACACCTTGTTCGTTTCTTGGACATTCAAGTATCTGTATTTCAAAAACTAATTATAGGATTGGTTCGGGCCAATGAGAACTTTTTATAAGGAAATCAAGGTCTAACACTTATCAAAATTTTATTGAATTTGACAGAAAACCCATGTGATGTGCGGGGTCCATTTCTTTGTATAAAGAAAATCCATGAGCTTGGAAGAGAAACAAAATACTTCGTGTTTATTTGTCTTTGTCTGCCAATCTTCTCTCAATTCCTTTTAAACTTCTTCTCTTTATTTCTCAATTTTTGTCTACTCCTTTTCTCTCTCTTGAATTTGTTAATGAAAAAGAAAATTCAAGAGCCTATAGATTATACTGATTAAACCCTGAGGATGACTTCAGTCTCAAAACGTCAATGTTATGAATCGGCTATTAGCAATCTTCCTGTTCAAAAAAAAAAACCTATACAAAATTCCAAACTGAATTTATTCCTAGATTATGAAACCTCCAGAGTATAAGAAACACACCTGTTGTAGAACGCCGGGAGAAGATGGGAGTTGAAGGTGCATATGAAAAATTCAGGGTGCCAACTTAGCATATACGAAATATCCATATCGGCTCTGCTGGTTAGCACCTATATCGCCATATAAAATATGTCGGATAAGGATGGCAGATTCGGTATTCCGGCTGAAAGACAAAGAGGAATATACCGGCTGAGAGCAGGCGCGCGATCGAGACGGAATGATTATGTTTTCGAAACAGAGTCAGTCGGATATAAACTTACGTGGGGAGTATATTACTCGGTGGTTCGGGGAGAGCGCAAAAGTACGCGATAATTTTGTGCATCTAGTAAGAATTTTCAAAAACTTTGATTTAACTACAAGAACAGTTGGATTTTTTGAGAAATAATCGATATAAGGTAGGAAAACATACTTTTGTTTAGTTTAATTTTCAAAATTTCATTACATGTCCCTTAAATTTGTATTAATTTATTTAATTATTCGGCGTTAAGTCCCAATAATTAATTTCTTAGTCGCAAAATTGAGAAATAGAATCATATAAAACCCTATGCATAAAATATTATTCAGACGATATATAATATGTTGCAAGATAAAGAGAGTCCATATATAGCTTTTTTGAGAAAGATATGCCAGCATAAATTTGCCAGAAAGAACTGCCCGTTCAGCTACCAAGGCAAAATTTAAACCCATTATGTAAATTTTTGTTTCAAGCAACAGTTGGCACATCTCATCCCTTTGTATTAAAATAGAGATCTTATGCACATCCTTGGTTTTCAAGAGGAAAAATTTATTTGCATAGTATTATAGCGTCAATAATTTTTAGACAATAATAAAGAAGGCATCGATATAGACAATCTATATAAAGTGGTATTTCCAGGAAATCTGGCTCGCATGCTTGCAATATATTGCCATTTCTGGAGTCGTATCGCTTCACCTATTTACACACCTGAATGATTCAGAATAAAATTGTCTGGATATCTTATGGAACAATTTATATATGTTTCAGACCATTTATGCAAAACATAAGTTCGTATATACAAAAATATTAGTCTATATGAAATGGACCAAGCTTGTCCTTCTATTGCACTAATCCATCAGTATGTGGTTTATCTGCAACTGAGCCATATTATAATAAAACTGTCCCATTATATTTAAACAAAAACAAATTATATTTAAATTTATTTGTACATAATAATTCAAATAATACGTCTATTTATTCCATACATACATATTATAATCCATTGACCTCTCGCGAACAAAAAGCAAAAATATCCAAATTAATAGCCACCTTCTAGGTATATAGCTAAATTATCCCCCCAGTCTTTATCTATTTAATCTAGAGCCTCAATCTACGTCTGGAATCGATTTATTACATGGACTCGCTATGGTGTATAGGAGCCAGGAGGGACTTTTTAAAGACACGGTATTATTTTACCTTTGAATGGCCAGACTGCTGCATAACTGAAATAAATTACTGGCATTAGTTTCTTTAACAACTTTTTAATGATATGGGGTGGTAAATTACTCGATTATTTTTATTCAAGAAATCCAAAACAAATTAAATCAAATATTGACAAAAAATTACAAATACATTTCATTGAAAAAGCCAAATCCTTAAAACACTAAAAACAAAGAACAAGTAAATAAGTAGGTATAGTCTGTGCATCCAGAGGTTACCCTTATGTTGTAAAACACAGGGCTGACAATAAATTAGTACAAGACCAAGTGAAAGAATTTACATTTAGTTCTATAAAGTCTTTTTTCAAACTAATTTTAAAGTTTTTGAGTTACCTATGTCAAAAATCAATGTCTATAGAGTAGTTGCCTATTTAAAATTTACTCCATAAAAAAATATTACTTGGCAAAATTATATTTTAAAGTAATTTTGAAAAATGGTACACCAGCACCTGAACTAATATAGGGCCTGTCAAAGTTTTTGAACAAGATTTATACCGAAATTCCAGTGCTTCCCAAACAAAACAAAATTTTGTGTTAAGTTAGATAATATTTATGTTTTACTTGTAAACAATATGTAATAATAATAATAATAAAAGTATAATAATCTATACTCAGCATTAGATGAATATTATATTGCATTTTAAATAAATACGAAATGTAAATACCTATCTGTAAAAATTATATTTCTTCACAAAATTTCATGACCACAAAACATTTTGGGAATTTCAGGTAGAGTCGTCCTCTCTTTATATTTCGCATGATTTATAGCCATGCCGTGTTTTACAACTTAGGGGTAAACTCTCGGTGCATAGACTATATGTATACAGTGTGTCCCGCTTAAGGACTGACCACCCTTCTAAAATTTTAATTTTTCAACGGATTCAATTAATTTTTTTTTTGTCTTATAGCTACTTAAATATGGCACTTATTAGGCGGATAATTTTATTTCTTCGGCTATACTGGTGTACAGGGTGTCCACATTTATAGGCTCAAATTTCAATAAGTACTATTAGGGATTTTTTTAGAAAAAATCTGATAGCAGATTCTTGTTTAGAATGGGCTAAAATCTAAATGTACTAAGTTTTGTTTCAATATGATACAGGGTGATCACAACAAATTTTCAAAATTTAATGGACCAAACGGGAAAAATTTCATTATTTGAGGCCTTGAGAACAACAAAACTTGATACAACATAGTTTTAGAACATCCTTAACCAAAACTAGTACATAGTAAGCTTGTCTCTAAATCTAACATTTTTATGGTTTGATTCATTAAATTGTGAAAATTTGTTGTCATCACCCTGTATCGTATTGAAACAAAAATTAGTACATTTGGGTTTTAGACCATTCTAAACAAGAATCTGCTATCAGATTTTTTCTAAAAAAATCCCTAATAGTACATATTGAAATTTGAGCCTATAAATGTGGACACCCTGTACACCAGTACAGCCGCAGAAATAAAATTATGAGCCTAATAAGTGCCAAATTCGAGTAGCTATAAGGCAAAAAAAAATGAATTGAATCGGTGAAAAAATAAAAATTTTAGAAGGGTGGTCAGTCCTTAAGCGGGACACACTGTATAACATTAATAATAATAATAATAATAATAATAATTGTCAGTCTTTAGGAAAATTATCGATCTATTATTAGGTAAACCCTGTCAAATGAGTTTCATACAACATGCAGTTGAACTTTAGACACTAAAATCACGACACAGACACCAATAACAATACAAGTAAGGTATATCCAGTTATAAGAACCTGTTAAAGGTTGTCATTGAAATATTCGTCAAGAGAATAATATAGACTTTGATAATATTATGCTCTATCGGCCAATAAGCGTTTGACTTTATTTCTAAAAGATTTATAACTTTGGTCTGTTCTCAATTTAATGGTAGCTTATTGTACATTTTTATACTTCTATAAATGAGAGACTTTTGTGTAAGTGAGAACCTTGGTATGGGCAAAGGTATCAGGTTATAGTTCGTCGTTGAATAGGAGTGTACTTGTGTAGTACCCTGGTACCTCTTGTGTCTCTAAGATAAAAATATCCAGCTTCCTGAGACCTGCCCCAAAAAAATAAATCGAACACAACGCTTCTGAAGGGTAAATACTGACTGGAACAGATACTGACTGCAGTTCTTCCAAAAAGGGATTCCGTAGCGCAAGTGGTACTCGTCAAGAGCAAAATAATTGGTTTTAGCCATAGACTGACCCAATTCATAACAAGTTTGGCGTACGGTATAACCTCCCGCTGCTATTTTATTATTTGAGTTTATTGTGTTGAAAAAATTTCAAGTTGCAGTCAATAATAATTCCAAGAAAAGTATTTTCACTGAGACCTGACTGATTTCCAAGTTACAGATTGTCAAATGTAAATTTAAAACTAAATACTTTCGTTTTTTCAGTATTAAGACTTAGAAAATTTGAATCACACCATACTTTTATTTAATGGAGGTCATTAGAGACCATTTCTTTCAAGATGTGTGGGTCTTTATGGTGCCAAAGAGGTGTAATATCATCTGCAAAACCAGTAAACATTCATTTAAGTGGCAATTTAAGAAGGTCATTAATATACATCAAGAATAAGATATATAGGTCCCAGGACAGAACCTTGTGTAACCCCTGTGTCAATTGTTAGGAATGATGATATGGAATTATTATTTTTAACCATTTGGGTTCTTTTAGGGTCGAATTTATAGTCGTTCCTTGAGTCTTTCTTGTAGGTCGTGAGTTTAGAATGGATACTTGCTCCTATTTTCACAAATAAGTCATGTCAATTCTAAACATTCAAGGCTTCCTTGAGGTCTGAGGAAACTTCAAGGAGCGACTATAAATTCAGCCCTTAGACGTATAAGAATTGAAGAAATTCAATAACGTGTCCCGAATTCCATAAATGTACATTTTTCTCAAGAGTATGTCATGTCTAACACAATTAAATGCTTTAGAGAGGTCGCAAAAAACTGCAGCTGCAACCTCTCTATCGTTCAGTTTCAAATATAGTTGCTCTAGAAAGTAAAAGACAGCATTACTAGTACTTTTGGATGACTGGAATCCAAACTGCCCATCGCTAATTATATTGTTACGTGATAAAAACTGAATCAGTCCATTTTTCACCATCTTTTCTACTAATTTTGACAGGGTATTTAAGAGTGAAATAGGTCTAAAGTTAGCTGGATCTTTGAAGGAGCCAGTTTTATATGTATACAGGGTGTATCAGGTTTGACTACAAAAATTTTAATACGTGAAAATATGACCCATTTTGAACAAAAAAAGTTTACACAACATGGGGTCCAAACTCAACCATTTTTGAGAAAAAGGCCTTTGAAGTTTTGACATTTTTTAACGAATATTTTAAAGGTAAAGAAAATTTTAATCATTATGAGATGTAGAAAAATTTAGTTTATCCGGGTCTGGTGAACATAAGGACCAACAGAATTTCACTTTTATTTTTTTTTTAGAGGAAACCTCTATTAGTATAGAACAGTTTAAAAGAAAAAAATCGCTGGATAACGCACTTTTGAAAGGAGGAAACGCATCAAAAAGAATAATAAAACAAGCCATTTACACAACATTTCAATGTTAAAACTCCACTAACATTACTAGGTACTTACAATGTTACCAAGTTTTTCTATTAACGTGAATTTGAATTAATTATTTCCATTTCGCATACATATTTTTTTTTAAATAAAGCGTTTCATTGAAGGAAAATTAACCATAAACCAACCTAACTTTATTCACCTACATTCATAAATGTTCCAATAATAATAACAAAAGAAAAATCAAAAAAAGAAAACAATTTTATTGAAATATGTATAAAATACATAGGTAAGTGAAAAAAAATTACACAAATGGATAATGCTGACCAATGTGGTTCACAATATTTAAAAAATGCTCAGCAGCAGTGTCAATGTGATTTCTTATATTAAATAGAAATTATTT